ATAGTGACTACAGGATTTCAGTATTTTCTGCTATTCCAAAAATCACACTTCCACTACAGATATACCTTAAAACCAAAGATGTTACTTACATTTGCAATTTATCTCCAAATACGGCGTTTCAATACCCAAACCATGGTCTGTACATAATTAGTAGCCATGGAGACCATGAAAACACACAATATTAGACAAATGCATGGACCAGCAAGCTTCTGAGTTGTAGTTAAAGACTTAAATTTAATTGCACATGGTCCACTGACCACAACTATACAATTAACTATTCTCATCTTCAACCCGATCCCTTCCCCATTTTAAGGAAATATCAAGAATCTCAAAGCCTGACTTGCCCAAACAGCTGATGCCTTTCACTGACTGTTCCAGTTACCTCCATCAATCACATGGATAACAGTTCACTCAAGAGAAAGGCAGTGACTCTGTTCTCATCAGCAAGAAGGTATGCAGGGCCGAAACAAAATCACATGATGATCTTGCATGCAGATGTTTTAAGTAGTTGGTATACGGACAGATGTCCGATAGAAGAAAAATAAGTCAGGAGAACATCATCTGCAATTTAGTACACAGCAGGCCAGCAGCCTCAAAGTTAGCATAATAGCTAGACTGAGCTAGAGATATGCTTAGAAAAACTACACTGAGTGCAAGTAAGATGACAGATTGGCCAAAGAAAGCCCTCGAGCAAAAGGGAAACCAAACCCAGCAAAAATGTGTCACTTTTCTTGTTTTAAAAATTACTGATATACACTATAATAGATGTTTGTGTGTGTATGCATATTAATTATACATATATAGTCTTCAAATTACTTCTGTCAGGCATCCTATAGTCAAGATAATAGGTTAGAAAAACTAAACATTAGATGTTTTGACTATTAAAAAACTAATACATTCATAAAGTGACCTTATGTGCCTATAAATGTGTAACATAGTGTTCACCTTTTCCCAAATTTAACACTGCAGAAATCTAACATTCAGCTTTTCTAGTTACCTACCATGCAAGTTCTCAGATGTTCAGCTCTTTGCTCAGCACAAATGTAGCACAGCCTTCATATTTTACCTACTACTACATCAATCAAAGATCTTTACATACAAAATGGAAAAATATATCTTGACTTATCCTCTCCTCAGAAAATTTTCCTGTAATAGGCAAATCCTTCCCTTCCTTCACTATGTTTTTTTTACTGCTTATTACTGAGCAGAGGCAGGGTCCTTACTTGTCCATGAAGATGAGCTGGTAAATACCGCCAGGAGGACACCTGGCCTGACAAAGCAATAGTTGCTTTTGGAAAGGAGGCAACACAGCCAGATTAAGGAGTGCCAAGACCACCTTTGCAACTGATGCAAGTGAACTACACAGAGTTAGCTGTGTTGAGGAAAGAGAAGTCCTATCTCCCATTTTTACCTACCCCACCCAGCTCCTCCCTCAAACCAGCATTCCTGAGGGTCCCTTGCCAAGTTGATTCAGTTTGTTCCAGTTGCAGAAAACTAATTTCTCAAAAGAAGAGCAGTTTTCCACTAGGTTAGCCAGTTAAGTTGGTTTTGCACAGAGTAAAAAAAATGGCAGGATAGAAGAGAAGTAAGACAGAACAGAACTGAAAATATTTACAACAGAGGTAAAAAATTGCCAGCCTTGCTCACCATTCACCTACAGAAGCAGAAGTCTGCAGAGCTCAGTGCTGAACCAGATCATAGAACTGACTCAGCTCAAAAGGATCCTTCTCTTTTGGCAGGCTAATTTTCATCTGTTTCAGTTCCCTGCCCGCACAGCCACAAAACCGGTTACGGCAGCACAGCACAGCATGGCAGTGAACAAGGAGAGTGATGATAGAATCATGCCCAAGATTAAACCTGTTGGTTCTAAAGCAGTGACCACTTATAGCAGACTGCATGGTATACCAGAAGAAAATTCTCTCAGTGCCTCACCTTGAGATGTAGTGAATGCAGCAAGGTAAAATCCCTGAAAAGGAGCTACATGTATTTTCCTACCGGACAAGTCAGATAGGTACAGATATGCCTGTTCAAACTGAAGATTAATTTAAACATGCTTTTTCTGTCATTTCCTCAGCTACAGGTTTTATAAAAATTTGTAATTCTATGGCTAGTTTTGAACATCTGAAATACTTCTACATACTACCAGACTTTACTTTGGGCTATCTTAAGTTAAGAGGCATTTCAAGGCTAGTTAATGAAAGACATCTCACTTTCTCTAGAGTACCCAAATATTCAAAGGTTATATGCCCTCACCCACATCACCTTTGCAAAATGCACAAAAGCAGTTCAAGAGCCTGTATCTTCCTGGTCACCTTCCATTTCTAGGAAGGTCTCCTTAGTACTACCCATTGGAAGACCCCTCTGGCATGCACAAGAATTTTAAGAGGCACACATAACCCTGTGAAGGCAAAAAACAACAGAATGTCTATATCAAGTTTTTGAGCTTGGTTCAAGAATGTGGCTTTTAAGCTGTCTCCTGAGAGTCCCCAGTCACCACACTTTGGTTCACACTGCAGAGAAGAACGAAGTATGAATACGGAATTCACTTTGGACAAAACTAAATGAGATGCACTCCACAAGTGCACCTAATGCACTCCAACAATTACTGAGGTCACTCCATGGGTTTTGAGCTAGTGTGAGGCAAAGCAGACTCAACAATCTGCAGGTGAAGTCCCCAGTACTAAGATCTGTTTCTCTAAAGCAGCGGTACTTGATATCAAAGACTTACATTGAATGAAATCACCAAAGGCAACCTACTGAATTACAGTCAAAAGACTTACCTTGGTACAGCACAAAATTTTTTTTAAAAATCGTGTACTTATCATTGAAGAATTGAGACAGTATCTAATTATCCAGATACAGGGAATATCTGCATCTGAGTTTTTTTCCTGCAATGGCTGCTAGTCGGAATGTCAGCATCTAGGGGGGTATTAAGTTTAAATTTATACTTTGAAGGAATTAGAATATATATTTTACTATTGCCTCAAATGGCTCCAGGCTGATGTTTTCCCAACATCTAAAACACTGAAAAAGCTCCTGAATGTGCCCTAATCATTAGCTACTTTCTAGATGCTAATAAGATCTCAACCATTCATTTTAAAGTAGTTTTCCTCAGCATACTTTTCATATGCACAGCTGAATTTACTTTCCGGAGGCTGAAGCACAGGTAGAACATTTTTAGCGGGTGCTTGTTCGCCGCAGAAAAAGGTTCCTAGGAATAATCTGAATGTGAAAACCTGCTAAAATTATTCTGGAGTATACTAAAAGCTGCTACTATTCTGGTAAGAAATACTGAAAATTATTACTATTTCACATCTAAAATCTCCCTTATGATTTGATGAGTCCTCACAGCAACTTACACATAACAATAATGGAATACAAGACATGCTATCAAGGAATTAAAAGATTTTTCTAATATTAAAGATAATCCATGATGTCCCAGTTTAATGCTATACAGAAATTTGCCTCAGATGGCTTTTCCAGAAAGATGTTCTGTTCATCAAAGCAGTCACAGAAAGTCTACTTGAACCCTTTTCTGACAAAACAACGGTGAAATGACAACTAGTATTTTCTCTAATTCTCTTTGATCAACTGCCAAGCCAAAGAGAAAAGTCATGTACTGAAACCATTGTGCATAAACTAGAGCTATACCCTTTGGAATAAAGAAATAGGAACAGGCAGGTGAGCTTCCTTGAAGCTTAACAATCACAGGAAATTCTTCATCAGTTGCTTTTTTCAGCAGTTGCTTTTAACATGAACTTTACAGTTTCCATTTTGATTTTTAATGCTTAGGAAAAAAGCCCGAGTCTCAGTCATAAGAAAGTCCTGCACACTGGAGACGCTGGTAACAGCTTTAATTCTTACCATGCTGGAATTTAACTGCAAGATCAGACCTTAAAGCTTGACAGCTTACCTTCCTACTGTGGAACCGAGCACATTCCTAAAAAATAGATATCAGAATAACCTTAGGTTCAGAAATATCAGATTCTGGAACAAATATACCCAACTTGAACCATACACATCTTACTGACATGACTATTCCCAAATTTTCAAAGCTCTGTGTCTTGCCTTCTTTCCAAAGAATTACGTCATACAGCACTACCCTGTAGTAACATTTACTTGAAAAAGTTATGAGATTTCTCTCAAAACTCTCAAAATCCTCAGTCTCCTGGTTTATTCTACGTATCTTTTACTAGTTTCTTCTTTTCTTTACTTTGTTAAATTAATGCCATAGTAAATGTCTGCATGATCAGAAGGGTATGGAATCTCTTGTAACAGGAGGTTAGGAGGAAAAGAAATTTCCCCTGCAGACATTTCAGTATGCTTGATTACAGCAATCATTAAAAAAGCCTACCATCAAGTACATTTTACAAAAACTAGAAGTACCTGGATTTAGATTCAGCTAAACCTAGTAGATATGGAATTATACCACACTGATTTATTACATCTTTCAAGGGAAAAGAACATCATTAGAGTAACTAAGAAGGAATTCTTTCAGTACATCATAAAAACAGGAGAAAAACCTGGAGACAACTAAAGCATTCTCCAAAAACTCCATTTTATACACGATTAGTTTTATAATACTCTCTTTTTTTTCTTTTTTTTAAGTATTAAATCAGAGTGTACCAGCAATGATGAAGTTTTAATCAGCAGGAGTTACACATATAGGAAGATGTGTTGCAACTTTATCTCAGCATCCCTAGAGCTTTGTGCATATTATCTACAGAAACACTTTGTCCCTGCACTCTCTTTTAAAGGTGTTTCACAACTTTTTTCCTCACTGTGCTTAATTTACAGTTTATTTCTTCAAGGAAGTTGATTTTAAGAAGCCTTGATTTGCTGTAGGCATATTTAATGTCTCGAGTACTTACACAACTAACCAGAGAAATTAGGCTAAAAAAAGAGGAAAGGAGAAGTATGTATTCCCTCTAATCTTAAGCGGGTTTTTTTTCTGTTTTCCTGGAAACACCAAGCATTTTTCTCACCAGATATGTACTTACTTTAGGTATATTGCTGCCTTCTCCCACTTTTTTTCTGAGGTGAAGTTTCTGACAGGGAATCCACAGTAAGCCTTTGGTTTCTCACCATATACACCGTTCTGCCACTACTCTACATCATATGAAAGAACCATGTCAGTAGGAAACTATGCAATATCTGTTCAAATACCTGGAAATCTTCTTCCAGAAACGTGCTGCCACCCACACCTTCCTAAGACAGGATTTGCAAGTACGTAGTAGGAGGATACATACCTGCCCAACAGTATCTGCTCTTTGGCAATCTCATTTATCTTCCTAATCCCATGAGAACTGCTTTAAGAAGGGGTAAGAAATTGCAGTGTAGAAGTGTGTTGGTTTGCAGAGTTCCTAACTAGTACCATATTCAATATTGCTTCAAGAATTATTGGATTAAGACTTTACAGACCTCATCTCAGGTCTTGCTATCAATTCTTTCCTAAGTGGCCTATCTAACAGCATCAGAAGCAGCTTGATAAGAATAAAGGGAATTTCCTTTTTTTTAATGACAAGCATCATTTGTAGAGGTCCTAGAAGCCTTTTCCTTCTGAGTCAGGTCTGCAAGACACTTCACTACAATTCATTTTAATTCGCAAAGAATGTGTATTATTTTTCATTCATACAACTTCCCACAAAAATATTCTGAATAAACAACTTACTTCCTAGATTTCAGTATGAATTTAAATCCCCTCCAGCATACATCTTAAAAAAAGAAAAAAAAGTACCAATAATCCCACCTCCCAACAAATCCAAACTATAACACCTGGGAAAAAAACCCAAAAACACAAACCCAAACAAAACCACACCATATAATTTAACATATACTTTAATTTCTACTTCCCACTTTTAGATCTCAAAAGTCACATATGATAGCCATGAAAATCAACAATATACAGGCATGAAAGATTTTTTAAAGGAAAAATATTCCACATAAGTTCCCTACAATATACAGGACAGTGAAGAAAACCAACAATTTCATAACCACACAGTAAGAACTAAAAACACACAAAAATTTTATAGTTCAAAGCCCAATTGTATTCTGCTTCTTCACTTTCTTCACTTTACTACATAATAAGCGATATAATTTAATTAGAAAAGGAAAAAATAGAAACATGTATTTCTATAGTTGTGATTGTAAGTGCAAGAAATTCTTAATATATTTCTTTTAAAGGTCTACTTATACAATCTGTATGTTGAATACATAATGAAATGTCGCAATACATCTGGAATTATTGAAATTACTGTTCTAGGTAACTCATATATAAAGCTAAATTAATGTTGAGTCAGTTCTTGAAGGTCTTGGAAAAGTATCAAAAAACATTTTACTGCTCAAAAATAGGTTTTGTTATACATAGCTATTCCCTAACCATTGAAGTCAGACAGTGCAAGTCTTGTTGTTTATCTCGTATTATGAGACAATGTATTTTATTCCTTACAAAACATCATTCACCCACATTTTAACAGTAGGATAGAGCCCTGTTTTACAGGATTTTGCAAAATGTACACACAAGATTATTCTTAAGGGTTTATGCCAATTTTTTTCCACTTGACAAGTTCGGCATAAAATAGGCCCCAGTGAATTGGTTTGAAAACAAAACATCACATACAAATCTCTTACTTGTAAAATGAAATTTTCTAAGATAACTGCCTAATTAAGTCTATTTTTCCCAAGCACTTTTTTATGCAATTACTGTTTTTTAAATTTTAACTTATTTTTTCAATTGTTTTGTGATAAAATAAAATAAAAGCCAAAATGCTATGCTCTTTTTTATTAATTAAAAACATCCCACAGGAAAAAGGCTGTCACCTGCTCATTTCCCTTATTACCCTCCTGCTCTCCAAGGACACCTTTTTCAGGCATTCTGTTAAACTTTCAAGAAGAATTCTGTCATACACAACACTACAAATATAAGACCATTCCAACGTAAGAAGTGGAGAGCTGCATACTGCATCTACATATATGAACAGAATGTAATTTATTTCTTTTACTTAGTCCACACTTCAAGACATTATAATATCTAGCAAGAAGTAAAATTTGTTCTCATTTTTAGCTATTATGTTTCTCTTGTTGCATAACAATCTCACAAATCGCAGACAACAGAATGTATACTTGCTTACCTACAAAAAAATCCAGACAGCTATGGCTGAATCAACATTAAAGGTGGAATTCTGTGTCTGTGTATCAGAATTTTGTATGCTAGACTCTCCAAAACATGGCCTGATGAGCACATATTCTGCTACTGTCCAATTAACAAAGCCAGCAGACCAACTAAAGGTTATCCCAGAACTAAGCTGGTCCTCATTAAATTCACAACCACTAATTTTTAAAATAAATAACATGGAAAGTTTTCCTGCTGTATTGGAAAAGTAGACAAATATAAACCTAGAAAAGTAAATGAAAACATGCTGCAATGGGTATGCTCTGTGCTGCTAAATATGAACCACAGACATGGAGCGTGGGTGAAGATGGAAGTCTTTCAACTGTATTCGGATAAGTAAACTCCAAATCAAGAAACATTGAGTACACAAGACTTCTTACCCTGGATCTATAAAAAATAAATCCCAAAATTAATGGCCATTTCCTACACAAGCAGGTACTATTTCCCATCTATACGTGTATGTTTTAAATCTCTTTCTTTCGATGCTTTTAGTTTCAGTGTTTCTACTTCTTCCCATTCAAAAGAGTACTGTAGCAAGCAACTAAAACTTTAAGTACAGGAGTCTGCTGTATCAGAGAGATTTCAGCCTATTTTTGTTACACACTGTACACTACACTGCAGGGGGGAAAGCAAGGACTTTCTTCCTCTAAGTTTAAAAGGTAAAGCATAGTTAGACTACAAAAAGGATCACATTCACGAGACTAAAGCTCATCATCACAGCCATGTAAAATGTCAAAAAGAAATGCTTTTGTGAAGATGTCCAGCTACAAATGGCAAAGAGGGTGATCTCCTAGTTTCTATGGATAAACTCAACATTATGGCAGTCTTATAGTTGAGAAAGATGAAAATCAATGTTACTCTGAATCCAGAAAGTTTTAATGGAAGCACAGCATTTCTTTAACTAAGACTACAAGGAGAAGCTACTGCCTTTAATCTATGTTTTGAAGATAAGTGCACAGTAAGGTGTATTCTAGAGAGAAGTCAGATCACAAACAAAAAAACTAAGCAATTTCAATTTAGACAATTAGAGTAGTTTGACAATAACCCCTAGCAAACCTAGTGTCAGTCCTCCCGCTCCCACACACACCTCTATAAGAAAGTTTCCCACTTTCTTATGAAAGTGAACAGATGAACAGAACCATAGTCATGAAGACATCCTGCAACTTGCATGTTATTAATGAATACTTAGAGGAAAGTCATAAGAAGGTACCTCATAAAACAGGAGAGAAGCATATGACTTTTTAGTTGAGAAACAGACAGCCTATACATTTCTAAAACAGTCTGACCAACATATAGTGACACTGTAAGTATTTTGTTTCCCACATTTCTCAAAGATAATTTTTACAAAACATTCATATCACTGAACTTCAGATCTGCCCAGGCAACCTCTTTGGTTGCAGTTCTCAAGTAGATAAGAGCCTCACCATCTCAGAAGAAAGCTTGCTTCAAACTGATACATTCAGACACAATGTCCACGCTCAGAGTCACTTCAAACACAAAGACACCTCTGTAATCTTTCACACTACAGGCTTATGGGAACATCAGGGTCTGAGTTACACATTCAGAAACATTTGTCTGCTTTATTATGTAGGCTTATGGCAACAGCTATCATTGAAAATGTCTTAATCTTTACACAGAGGAAGAAAGGGAGAACAATGTATCTGAAGAAAAATTTGCCTAAACCCCTTATCCCCTTATGAAAGGGAAAGGCTGTACCAATTTTAAAGCAATACTGAACATAGTAAACCTATCCTGAAAGAAAGTTAGTCTAAGAGCTTTATCCTAAACAAGGAGAAACAATACAAAATGAGGAGCAAAGACAGAAAATGGTATTTATGTCTGGTGATGATTTTCTCACAGACCTGCCACTAAAGCAAACTGAATGAAGAGTTATTAGCCAACCCAAAATCTGAAAAATTTTTATCACAAATATTTTGAAAAAAACAAATGTGTAACAAAACCTTGAGTTTTGGCCAGGTACATTACCTGCTTACTGGAGAGAAAACAAGAAGAGAGGCAAATAAAAAAATAATGGGGATGGAGAGAAAAAAAAACACAAAATAGGAACAACCAGAGAGAGGCAGAGTCTGTTTTTTTCCATTGGGCTAGTGGAGATGGCAACATCATTCAGAACTCTCTGGACGGTTCCAGTCAAGGGTCAGCTTTAGTCCCTGACAAAACAAGAAAGGTCACAGATTATATAACTTTTACCAATGCCACCACCAGTGAAGGATGACCTAATATTGATTCAACTCTGGCCAGAGCACACAATTTCTCCTCTTTTCTAGCCAACTTCAATGTTACAAAATTCTGTACTTAGTACACCAGGTTCAGCAACCTGACACCACTGGTAACTGATTAACAACTGTTCTGTTAGAGAGATCCCAAACATGAAAAGCTTGCTTGTATTTTACCAAGAAAGCACTGATGCACAACAGTACATACAGAGCATGCAAAGGATCCAACCTTTACTGTAACTGTGGATACCTCTCCTCTTTTTTGTTTATCTACCCCACATTTCTTGTTTCTCTATGACTGTTTCTGTTTTGAAAGAAGATATCCAGAACACTTCAATGACAAAGGTTTAGACACTGTTAGTCCAACTCTGTTATTCCATCACAAAAATCTCCCAGCATGACAGTTAGCATCACAGCCCTTTTAAAATGTATTTTACCGTAACAGTAATCTCAAGACAACACAACACTGAAGTTCTATTAGTAGCTCATGAGCCTGCAGTACATACCAAAAGTAGCAGAGGGAAACCTAGGTTTGGAACCTAAGTGAGCAGCATCTTTAATCTGAACACTTCATTAAGCCCTGTGCTGAATATGACACTTTCACAGTTCCACTCTTCACAAATTAAAAAACTTATTGAAATGATAAGACACAAAGATAAGAATTCAAGTTTCTATCCACAAACAAGCTTCCTATGTGCATAC